AGAGAGGAAAAAGGGACAAGAAGAGAGGGACAAAACCTAGAACAAATAATGGATGTCTATTCTATTAACATTTCTCTATCTGTAGAATGGGTCTGTTTTATGGGTTTTCTTCTCAGGGGGCCCCCTGCCTGTCTTTGCCTAGGGCCCCAAATTTCCTAAATCCGCCCCTGGAATGGATGGATGGAGTTACATTAAATCCTCAACAATGACACAGATTATTATTGAGCAGCTTTTCAGAAAAAAAATTTAACCTTAGTTCTGAAAACTTCTTTAAATAAAGGAGAAATTTTATAATTCCCTCTCAAACATAAAAAAAAAAAATGTCCTTTGGCAAAACTAAAAACACCTGGGCTGTATTTCTATTTCTCTTCTGACCACTGTTGTTAAGAATAGAACATCTGACCAAGTAGGTTGTCAACTTACACTAAGGTTTAAGAATGCAGCATTTTAAAATCACTTTTCCATCAGTTAATCACATCGTGTACAATGTTTGCTCTGGCTGACAGAGTGGCATAACCTTCCTCCTGCTTATATCTGGGGCTGCACACTGCTGATCAGCTGGTTGGTTTCTATTGCCTTCTCTCTTTTACAACAAATACAAATGTAACTAAGTTGAAATATTTCTGGTTCCAAAAGACACATCCAGTGAATAAAAAGCTGATCTATCAATCTCACTGAGGTAAAACTGTTCCTAAAAAAATTTTCTTGCAAAACTAAAAGCAGTTTGTCTGTGAAAGAGCTGACTGCAAGCTGGCAACTGTTAGATGTGATACCAGTTAGTTCCAGTGCTGCATCATTGCTGCTGCGTTCAGGAATAAAAGAGATATCAACATTTCTGAATATGACAAGAGAAGCAAATGACTCTCAGGAAACAAACTGTGTTCTGAACCGTAAGGAAGACAAACATGTTATTAGATCTCCACTTTCTAACAGTACTCCTGATTGACACTCTTTCTATTTTATCTTCTTTCTTTACTCTTATATCAGAATGATGTGTTGACAGTTTTATTAACAGCAAAGTACATGTAGAACAGGAGCAGCAGGTTTTATGAGCGCAACTTACCAGAACAATAAAAAGCTTGTGATTACACAGAACGTTACAAAAACATTAAAGAATGCCAACGACTGATTTTTCATAATTTTGCAACATAACTTCTTCCTATAGAGGGTTCAAGAGGAAAAAATTAAATAAATAGATGTATCATGAAATAAATAAATGCACTATAAACCAATGAAACGTAAAATCCAATAAATGAATGCACCATTAAATGTGACATTAAACAATAAATTTACCATTTATCTCTTTTAATGCTGCACATCATTAAATAACTAAAATGGTTTATTAAGTGAAAAAGGAAATAAATGTAAAAGTAAATCCCTTCATTGTTCCACAATGAGGAAATTCACTCTATGCATTTGACCCATCACCTTGGGGAGCAATAGATAAATGTACCAAGAAATAAATTATGTAAAATCAAAAACATTAAAGTGTAATTAAATGTTTTTATCATATAATTAAATATACCATTTAAGTATTTAAAATTAAATTTCATTTTACAAAAGAATCGTGAAATTCAAAAGTAAACAATGAAATATGGCATTAAGTATCTAAACATTTATACATTTTAAATTATGAAAATTAATAGTTCAGTGTAATTTCTGGAAAAAAAAAACTTACATTTCCTATTTTACTTTGTATTCATTATAATTTTATTGTGTTTGCAAAGAAAATTCAATATAATATCATTTAAACTGTCAACTTCACCCATTAAACTCCATCTGCAGAACTAAAGCTGTATTTAATTATTTCGTTTTATATTAAATAATTTCAAAGCACAGTTATTTATTTCATGATACATTTATTTTTGTATTTCTTTATTTAATTTTTGTCTCATTCACCCCTCCATATTTTACCTTTACATACCTTTATTGTAAATTAAAACCACCATATTTCACTTTTTTTTTTTTAAATAAATAGTATTGGAAAATATGTCCATGTGTCTTAATGTATAGAACTCTTTGTACCTTGCTTGAGTCCTCATGGGCAGTGCTCCAGCGGGCCCTGTGGCGTCTGCCAACACCTCCACCAGAGGCATTACCGAAGGGATCGAGGTGAGCGGTGGAGCCTGTTGGAAGGGATCCACCTCCATGGGAATACCTCAGCTCCAAGGCGCTGCCTGGCAAAGAACGGCTGCAAGGAAAAAAGCAAAAGATTGTTCCCGATAAGATAAAAAGGGTAATTATCCCCTGTGGTGAATGAGGTTTGTGTGGTAACTTAACCATGACAGTATAACAAAAACAAACACACACAGGTATAGGAATGTTGAGCAAGATGACTCATAAAACCAGAAAAATGGAGCTATAACGTTAGTAATAGTTAGTTTTAAGTTACATGATGGCCCCTGGTAAACATTACAACATATTACTGTCAACACATCGGCAGGGGGACCTGACAAATGCTGCAAAGTAACACGAAATGCAAGATAATTCATGTGTTTGTGAAGTGAGCGTGTAACATTTATCATCCCAGTTAGCGTGACTGCTGACTGTGTGGAGCATGAAGAGTGATCTGTTGTCAGCATTTAAATTTTACAGTCAGGCAGGTAGCTGGGGGCTTTTTGCAGTATAGATGTTTGCACTGAGCAGACCTGGAATAGGAGCCTCCAGGTCGAGCTCTAAGCTGATCCACCTCCAGCTGCAGACGCTCCAGCTCCGCTATCAGCTGGTCCTGGAAGTAAAAACCAGGCAGAGTTGCTCCAAAAGAAAAATGGGGCGTGTAGAGCTGGAATATGAATGATACATGGAGAGGATTTTACCTTGTTAGCCAACAGGTCGTCTTGGAGTTTCTTCATGTTGGATAATTCCTCAGATAGGGCATTCTGTGCAGAGGCATGGAGGAGGCAGGGAATGAGAAAATAAACAAGCAATGAATACACCTATTGTTTACTAAACACATTAATCCAATATTACTGGAAATATTCTTGATTGCAACACTGGAAAGTTTTTCATGACATTCCGGTAGATCATCTGTTTTGATGACTGTTAAGCTAATGATCTTTTAACTGTAAAATAGACGACATACATAGAACCTGGAAAAGTCCGGAATTCTTTAAAGGTCATTTCCAGGTGAGGATAAAGATTTAAAAAAAAATAGAGAATAGAAACATATCCATCCATCCATCCATTCATCTATCATCCATCCGTCCGTCCGTCCGTCCGT